GTCCCATTCTGTCTCCACTAGTCATCCTTCTCTCTGTCCTCCTTACTTCTTACCCAGTCCTGTAGGGATTCATCCAGTTCCGTGAGGTCTTCCAGGCCCTCCACCAGTGCCTGGTAGGTGCCCTAGTTGTGAGGAGCCATGAGTTTCCATCTTCCTACTCCACCATCTGGACTCCATCCTTCATATCTTCTTTACCTGTTTACAAATGGGCATGTAAGTTGCTTCCATAACTTGGCCATAGTAAATATGCAGTGAACACAAGGATACTTGTATCTTTTCAAATTACTGTTTTCAGTTATTTTCAGAGAAATAACCAGAAGTGAATATGCTATAACATATGGTAGTTCTATTTTTTAATTGTGGGGGAAAGATCCATACTGTTTTCCACATTGACTGCACCAACTTACATCCAAGCAACAGTACACAAAGATTCCCTTTTCTCCAAATCTTCATTAACACTTGTTATTTGTTATTGTTATTTGTTGTTTTTATAAATAAGAGCTGTTCTGGCAGGTGTTGGATCTCTCATTGTGGTTTTGGTTTGCATTACCCTGATGATTATTGATGCTGAAAATTCCTTCATGGGTCTGTTGGACCCATCTGTGTGTCTTCATTGGAAAAATGTCTATTCAGATCCTCTGCCTTTTAAAATCCAAGCTTTTGTTTTCTGCTATCATGTTTTAAAAGCTCTTTGTATATTTTGGAATATAAGCCCTTATCAGGTATATGATTTACAAATATTAATATTTTCACCCATTCAGTAGACTGAAAAACTATTAAATCTATATTTATCTTTACTCTCCAACAATCCTATGCTTATCAAGCTTGCCATCTACTGAGAAAAATAAATGAAACAGTCATATTATGTGTTGAGCTATTATAATTAAGTAGACTGCCATAGAGTGAGGAAACTATAGAAGTAACATTTATGTAACATTTGAACAAAAATATTATCTGTGCAGAATAATAGTTTATATCTTTTTACTCATTTTATTTAGGTCTCTTTTCTTATTCAACTGGACAAGACTTCCAATAAAATGCCAAACGTTGGTGTTGAGAGGAAGCATTTTTTCTCATTCCCAACTTTAGTGGGAGACGGGTTTTCAATATTTCAACATTAACTATAAGTTATGCTGGAGATATCTTACATTAATCACTTATCAGAATGAGTGATTTTAATTCTAAATCTACAACTGTAACTGCATTCTCTATGTTCTTATGTAGATATTGTATTTTTTATTGTTGCTGTTTAATTGCTAATTCATGTCTGACTCTGCAACTCCATGGACTATATAACCTGAGAGGCTCCTCTGCCCATGGCATTTCCCAGGCAAAAATACTGGAGTGGGTTGCCATTTCCTTCTCCAGGGGATCTTCTTGACCTAGGAATCGAACCTGTGTCTCCTGCATTGGCAGGCAGATTCTTTGAATTTCTATTATGATTTTTTTTGAAATATGGATTTTAGAATCAAATTGTATTAAATTAATAATGAATTACATGAAACTTGTGAGCTTTGAAAACTAGGTGGATAGCAGTATCTCATTTTGTAAGTTTATCAGAACTAATTATACAATTTAGCAAAGACTCAATCAGGATGCAGTGCTGTTATTATGTTCCTTTCCAAGAGGGATGTGACAGGAAATTACATTCAGGCTTCAAATCACTTATGAACGAATGGTGGCTTCTAGAATTAAAGATTTATATCAGTGAGCACAGCTAAGATATTTTCATTTAAAAAATATTTCAAGAAGCCATTATAAGTCCCCAAATGTGTCTGTACACTGATCTAAGTGATGCTTTCATGATCATATGGTATGACTCAATGTAAACTTATGCAATTATTCCTTGGTATAGTTTGTACTTCTTGTTTTTTTTTATATTTTAGAAAATTAATAGCAATAATTATATACCTTTTTAAAGTCAATTATATTATTATTAGTGGTGTTTTAACTTTTTGGCATAAAGATTGATATGTCACAATTAAGTTGATAGTTATTGGTTTAGGGATCTGACCCAAGAAATCAACTTTTCCCCTCAGTTCATGGGAATAAAGTAACAATAAATATACTATAAAGATTTTGTTAGTATAATTTTATTTGCAAGTGACACATATCAACTATGGCTATGAAACATGCACTATTACATAGGCAGATTCATTTAAAAAGTTTATAAGATGCAGACATAACTAGTATACCTCAACTTACAGTAACACCAAACTGCATTCATTTTCCTTCCACATATATTTTACTGAGTATGATATATTTGTCTAAGAACATATATATTTTTGGGGAGGTTATTGAGTGAAACCTTCCCTAGAAGGCTTATTCCCTAGAAGGCTTTTCCCTTAGAATAACAGTTATTGGTTAGGTATATAGCCCAGAACTACATGGACTTTCTGAAAGCTGCAGTGAATGAATGAGCAATTGTATTCTGGGTTGTGTGTGTGTGTGTGTTTGTAGAAGGCCAAAGAGAAAGGCTGTTGTTTATTGTTTCGTTAACTTTGCATTATACAATATTTTAATTGTAACAAACCAAATAAATATGTCATGAAGAACAATGCACAAATGAAAATGATATAATGGTAAATAGAACATTACTAATAAGCATTCAAGTTATCTGATCTTCTTCTGGAGTCCATCCATCTCCTGGCTGGAGCATTGTCTCTGTTCTTCTCAACTTGTGGCATCTATTACTGACTATAAGGTATCTTTGCCAGGTGTTTTATATCTCAGTCACTGGGACAGGGAAAGGAATCCTGAGCTGATGTCTTTAAAATAATGGTTTGAAAGATGAACAAATCACTCTCACATCTTATTGCCAGAACTTGGTCATTCAGATACAACTGTCTATAGGGATTAGGAAATCTACTGTATAGCTGGGGAGTCATGTATCCAGCTAAAATTTGAGAGATTTACTATTAGTAATAATAATATGCACTTGGCCACAGGGAACAGTTAGCATACAATTATTGAGATGTAGTTTATACACATGTTCAGCTTTACAATACAAATTATTATTCAGAGTGCTTAAATCAATTTATACCCACTCACAAGGCATAGCATTTCCTTGAATACACATTCTGAATGATAATTGTTTTTGTTTGGTGTCTTTTTTAATAAACCCATTTCACAGATGTATAATACCATTTTATCATGATCATTTCCCTGATTAATTATGAAATAGTCTTCAGTGAAATAAATACCTGTACACGTTTTACCCATTATCTCCCCTGTTGAGATGTTTATCTTTTTCATTCATGTGTAGGAGGTATTATGATTTCTGTATAAAGTTGTTTCTTTGATTGTTCCCTTTTACTTTCCTCTCATTACTAAATTTCTTTTGTTTTGAAGCAACATATCCTTATTATTTCCTGAATATAAGTAAAAAAATAATGTTTCAAACATTTTCAAATCCTTGTGCTTGTGTGTTTAAGAAAAAAATTTTCAAGGAAACTGCACCTTTAAATCAATAGTTAAGACTTGAAACCTTGAATTACAGAGATTACACTATTAAGTACCAGTATTGTGGTTTGATTCATTTAGATTTTGTTTTTCAAGTAGAAGTAGAGCAGTGAAATATATCCCTTAAACTCTCTAGCTAAGTTAGAGTTAGGATAGATGTATTTCTAGAAGTGAGAGTAATGATATTTAACTCAAAATGATTTATTAGGTAATACATAGATTAGGAAAAATACTCAGCATGAGATTTGTAATATAGGTAGTGTTTATTAAATTAAGCATGCTTCAGTCGTGTCCAACTCTTTGTGACCCTATGGACTGTAGCCTGCCAGGCTGCTCTGTCCATGGGATTCTCCAGGAAAGAATACTGGGATGGGTTGACATGCCCTTCTCCAGGGAATCTTCCTGACCCAGGGATCGAACCCACACCTCTTGTCTCCTGCATTGGCAGGTGAGTTCTTTACCATTAGCACCATCCATAGAAATAAATTGTTATTTTATAATTCTTATTATCATCACCAGGAATTTTCTTTTACAATACACAAGATGATTTAGACAAATTTTTATTTTCTCCAAGTGGTAAGAATACATGTATTAGCTTTTTGAACATATTTTCTTAATGGAATAAACACAAAAAATATATCTGAGACTACTTATAACTTACAGATATGAACATTTATAGTTTAGTTAACATGTCAAAATATGTCCAAAATAGGGAGAAAACAGTAGAATTACTGATTACCTGAAAGCTTTAAAAATTGCACTTTGTATTCTTATGCTGACTTATCCGTCGCTTTATTGCATTTTTAATTTCTTTATTTCTCAGTGTGTAAATGGCTGGATTCAAGAGAGGTGTGATTACTGTATAAAACACAGAAAGTACCTTGTCCACCCAAGTGATACTAAGTGGCCAGAAATAGATGAAAATGCAGGGTCCAAAGAACAGCACCACCACTGTGATATGGGAAGTACAGGTAGAGAGTGCCTTTGATGCTCCATCCTTGGAATGAAGGCAAATAGTTACCAGGATGTAGGTGTAGGACATCAGCAAGAGAATGAAGCAAGCTACAGCCAAGACACCACTGTCAGCATTTATCAACAGTCTCAGAGTATGAGTATCCATGCAGGCTAGTTTGATCACTTTGGGAATATCACAGAAAAAGCTGTCCACTATTCTAGGTCCACAGAATGGAAGATCTAAAATCATAGCTAGTTGACTTGTGGCATGCACAAAGCCAATGATCCATGATATCAGAGCTAGCCAGATGCACTTCTGTCTATCCATAATTCTGGAGTAATGGAGTGGCTTGCAGATGGCTACACAACGGTCATAGGCCATTGTCACAAGCAGTACCATCTCACCTCCTGCAAGAAAATGTATAAAGAGGATCTGACTCATGCAGCCCCCAAAGGAGATGGTTTTATTATCCTTTAGGAAGTCTGTGGTCAGTTTAGGAGTGGTCACTGAGGAAAGGCAGAAGTCAACAAATGAGAGGTTGGCTAAGAGGAAGTACATTGGGGAATGGAGATGAGAGTCAGCGATGATTAAGAGCACGACGAAAAGGTTTCCCAGGACGGTCAGCAGGTAGAGTGCAGAAAATGGCAGTAAGAGGAATTTCTGGAGCTCCCTTGAATCACAGAGTCCACGAAAAATGAACTCAGATACCACGGACTGATTTGCTTCTTCCATTTAGTTCATTTCTAGTGTGACCAGAAGAGGAACTAAGAACTTCTAGAATGGAAAGAAGAACTAATGTTTGGGTGCTCGAGAGCAGAATTTAAATGTGCAAAATTTAAATCCTAGGAAATGTGCTAAATTCCAAATTGAAAATAAAGATTTATTGAATCAATCTCAGCTCTCAGGAGCTAATGATGTGTAGAAAGGAAGGTTAAAAACATCACCCATCAGAGAGAGTGTTTTGGTTATACAAAATGAATATTCTCATAAAATTAACAGTAGCAATGTATTTTATAAACAATTTCTCCACTGCGTGAATCTCCCTTTTTGGCAGTAAAATTGCAAAGGTTTATAATATATTTGTAGGTTATTTTTAACTCTATCTAGGGCAATAATATAAAGCAACATTTCTCACACACAACTTGACTCTTAGAAGCAAATTTATTGCCAAAGTTGATACGTGTGAGCAAACTGAGTTGAATCAAATTCTTTTACAAACTGTGAGAAAAAGTTGTTTATCAAATGACTTGAAGAAAGCCAATATTCTTCCAAAGGAGACCCCAGATGCTGATGGCACGTTTCTAATGCTGAATATTTTTGCTCATTTTGAATCTCTATATAAAATTATATATTTCATAGGCTGAGTAACTCCACTTATTAACATTATAGACCAGTTCTATTCCCTTACTTGTAACAGATTTCTTTTTTGAGAGTAGCTTAAATGATAAAGAAATGAAAACTACATTTATTTCTGACTGTTCTCAGAAGAGAATATATAAATTTTAACTTTATTTGTCCTTAGACTGTTCACATATACTATATAAATTGAGCTCTGCTAAAATATATATCTTTTCTATATTCTGTAAGCCAAAAAGCAAGTTCTTTTTTCATTATTTCCTTTCTTCCATTTGCCCTCATTCTTTATTTATATTTTTTCTTTAGTCTTCCTTCTTGTCTGTATTTCCTTATTACCCTATTTTTTTAGAAAATATAGTTTAGATTATCAAGTAGAATAACTAGCACTTATGAACTACCAAGTCCTTGATAAGCATTTTAAAAACATATATTTTGTTAAGTATTCCCACTATAGGACTCAAAACATTTTGCATTTCCAACTACAATGTACAAATCTCCTTTCTTAAAATATAGCCTTGTCAATACGTTATATTTATGATGATGAGAGATGGTACTGGGATGTAATTTTAATTACTTTCATTACCAGATTAATTACTTTTTCCATTTATTAGTATTATTTGCCTTTTTTCTTTGAATATCTGCTCCCTTTTTGTTTTACTTTTTTCCTCCTGAGCTTTGCTCTTCATTCTATTCAGCCATTTTTCTGCAGCAAATAGGAGACTTTTAAAAATGGACATCACCATCTTTTATGTCTTGTGACTATTGTCTTACTACTGAATTCTAACTTCATTATCCTTAAAGTGTTGTAAAAATACAGCATGAGATCTAATCAAGTATATCTATGTATGTACATATTACCTATTTTGAGAATCACATTTCTTGCAATTTTGCAGAAGAGAAACTTGATTTTTCCCAAGCCTTAAGTTCAAAAATACTAGAACAACAAAATACACGAAAGTTTCCCTGACTTTAAAATGTCCCGAATAGCTTCCCTCCTAAAAATGACTTCTGCTAAGCATCTTGATTTTGAGATGTCTATAAAAGTAAAAAAAAAAAATTTCTGAAATAAGACATTTTGTTCTGTAAAGAGGTGACTCAGACACAAACTATGTAAATAACTAAAGCAATAGTAAAGAGGTACAGGTTTACATTAAAATCAATTCACTTTCATTGTTTGTCCTTAAATTGTATGGTGCTTTGCCATATTAATATTTGACTGAAGCTTTTTTTCCATTTACTTACTTTTGTCAATGATAGAACTGAATAATAGAGTTACTGTATGATCCCACTATTCCACTTCTGGGTCTGTATTCAGAGAAAACTGTAATTTGAAAACATATATGTGCCCTAATGTTCACAGCAGCGCTTTCTACAATAGCCAAGACATGGAAGCAACAAGGGAATGGATAAAGAAGATGTGGTATATATATATATATATATATATATATTTATATATACACACAATGGAATACTATTACTCAGCTATAAAAAAGAATAAACTAATGCCATTTTCAGCAACATCAATGTACTTAGAGATTATCATATTCAGTGAAGTTAGTCAACAGAGAAAGACAAATATCATACAATATCATTATATGTGGAAAATTTTTAAAATGGTGATATGAATGAGCTTATTTACAGAGCAGAAACAAACTCTCAGATATTAAAAACAATCTTATGGTTACCAAATGGAGTGGAGGGGAGGGAGATAAATTATTAGTTTGGAATTAACATATGCACACTACTATATATAATAGATAAACAACAAAAAACTACTTTGTAGCACAGAAAGCTATATTCAATGTCTGATAATAACCCATAATGAAAAAGAATATATATAATTATATATATATATGTGTGTGTGTATATATATATATTTGTAAATCCAAATCACTTGCTGTATACCTAATGTACACAACATTGTAAATTAATGTATATTTCAATTAAAAATGAAATTTGAGCCATATTTTATGACTATTACTGTCACTATAACCATTCAGCACAAGTGTTGTTATAAACAGTGGTGGAACTCACAGAGGGAGACAGCCAGTCTGCTTTACAAGGGAGAGGTCACTTTCCTTCCCCAGTCACCACATCTCTCTCAGTTGAATAGATTTCAAACAGAAAGAACATTTCCTGGCCAGTGGCTAAGAGACAGAGAGTGCGCCCCCCCCAAAAATATCCAGTTTTCTTCCCAGTGTCCAAACAGGATTTTGAGATTCCTTTTTTATTTACTGCCTCACTTAAAATTGGTGGGTATTAAAGTTGAAAGAAAAAAAACAAAACAGCATGACAATTTGCCAAGGTAACTTTGGTCCAGTTTAGCTTTGCATTAACCCACAGTCATTGCACTTAAAATTTCCGTGGTTTCTTAAGGGTTAAGGGAGGTGAACAGGAGAATTAGAGGTATCAGTGTAAAAAGAGATATTTTGTAATAATAATGTTATTTTTGAGAAGAGGATAAATGATCGTTTCTTCTTTTTCAATGTTCTAGAATTGTGTCAGTAAAGCACAGAATCCCCTAGGACCTTAAAGCAACTATCAAAGCTATATAATTAAGGCTCATATTTGTCACTTTAATATAATATTACTTTAAAATACATAAGTTGCAAGTTTAAAAATGTCTCAAAAGCCTGAACAATTACATAAAAAAGTTCCTTTGAATATCCATAAATACCATATTTTCTTTCCCCCAAATTTGGCATGTATCCTTCCTAAATTTTACTGATAATTCATATTTATAAACATATCCTTAAAAACAATATTAAATTTTTTATGTGTTTGAAACTATGTGTTTTGCCATTTTATTTCATATCTATCAGTATGATTTGATAATGTCTCTAGTAGTATGTATGTGTGTGTGTGTGTGTGTGTGTGTGTGTGTGTGTTAGTTGCTCAGTTGTGTCTGACCTTTGTGACCCCATGGACTGTAGTCTACCAGGCTCCTTTGTCCATGGGGTTCTCCAGGCAAGAATACTGGAGTGGGTTGCCATTCCCTTCTCCAGGGGATCTTCCTGACTGAGTGATCAAATCCAGGCCTCTTACACTGCAGACAGGTTCTTTACCAACTGATCCACCAGGGAAGCCCCTATTATATATAGATCAACCTAATTTCTCTAAACTATGTAATATTCAAAATATGAATAAAACACAATTTATTAACCCTCCTAAAAATGGTAGAACAAATAAAATCCAAAAGGAATTGGAGCTATCAGGATAAATGAGAGGGTCTGTGAGAACTGATCTCACCCAATGTGGGCAGCTGAAAACTTCTTAGATTGTAGAAAGGCAGTGTTGGTGAACACATCCACTAACCTGGAGGGTGATACACCCTGACTCCAGAGGCACAGAAGCTGCTGTACTTGAGACCATCTCAGTCTTTGCCTGTGTATTTCTTCATCTGGATATTTATCTAGCTCCTTTATTATATTTTTAAATAAGCAAGTAAATGTAGGTAAATATTTCCTAAGATCTGTGAGCCACTCTAACAAATTAATTGAAGCTGAGGAGGAGATCCTGGGAACCTCTGATTTGTAGCCAAATCTGACAAAAAGTGTGTATAATCTGGGGACCTATTACTGAGATTGGCAACTGAAATAAAAGAGAGTCTAGTGGGACTGAGGCCTTAACCATGCTCTAACACTAGCTTCAAATGCATAGTGTTGTTAGAATTAAGTTAGATTGTGGGATACCCACGTGGCAGTACTAGTGGTAAAAAACCTGCCTGCCAATGCAGGAGATGCAAGTTTGATCCCTGGGTAGGAAAGATCCCCTGGAGTGGGGCATGGTAACCCACTCCAGTACTGTTGCCTGGAGAATCCCATAGACAGAGGCGCCTGTTGGTTACAGTCCATAGGGTTGCAAAGAATCAAATATGCCTGAAGCAACTTAGGACATAGGACACCCAGAACTGAGTTAAGTTGTTTAGGTAATAGCTTGGTATGGGGAGAAACCTCTACATCTGGTGATCAGAAGTGTCAGAGGTAGAGTGTTTTATGTGAATAAGAAAGGACACTTATAGGAAAGAAACACACATGAGGTAGACTGAACTGAGCTTTCCCTTTCCAATGTTATATGATCTTATTTTTCCCTAAATCAGTTACTATAATCTCATTTTCCTTAGTTATGGAGTGTTGCAAGGTAGGCATATCGTCCAGAATTATTCAATGAGATATAAACCAAAGTCAGTTTCTGAGGTCTTCCTTTCTCAAACCAAAGGACACATCTTCATGTGCAGATGGATTTTCCTGATCCTTTCCCCCTGCATTTGATGCTAATGTCATATCAAAGTTAAAAACTTTTAAAGTCTATATACAATGAGAGCAAATGGTTAGAAAGAACCTAGGATGTAAACCGTTTGTTGAATCACTTAATTAGCACCCATAATGGTCTCCCTTCTTGTGTCTTCTAGTACCAACTTGGTCACATCTGTATCTGCAGCTTTATCACTGGTCTTCAGAGAAATCTATCCAGAGTTATAGATGATATACATAAATGAATGTCCCACCTTCACCTTCAAGATAACATGTCAGACTGAATTTAGAATATAATAATCCACCTCAAGTATCCACCTGATAAGTATCATTACCATTCCCCCACATGCCCAAAATAGATACCTATGTGATTGTCTTGTCCATACTTCACTTTCTATCTCTAATTGTACAGTTATTAGTCTCAAACATGTCTCAATTCACTTCCCTCCTCTTTACTTCTGTTGTCAATATTTTTTGCTTCTATGCTACATATTTTCCCATGTTAACAGTTTAAAAGATTATTAATGGATTTCTCTGCTCCATTCTTCCCCAATTCCAACTCATTCTGTAGTCTGATTCCAGCTATTTGTATTGAAAGTCAAATATGATCTACATGGTTTCCTAGTTAAATTTTTAATGTGTCTATGAAGAGAAAATTTCTGAAATCCCATGGAATATCACGTAATACTAAGAGAAGTAATGAACAGTATTTGGATTTAGGGAAAGTTACATAAACATTTTAGAAAATGAATATATCAGAAAATTCCTGAGTAAATTTCAAAACTGACTCCTCATTTAAAAAAAACTCTTGGGAAAATAGGAATTATTAAAAAAAAATAAATGGGCTTCCCTGGTGGCTTAGACAGTAAAGAATCTGCCTGTAATGTAGGAGATCCAGGTTCAATCCCTGGGTCGGGAAGATCCCCTGGAGAAGAGAATGGCAACCTACTCCAGTATTCTTGCCTGGAGAATTTTGTGGATAGAAGAGCCTGGCGGGCTGCAGTCTATGGGGTTGCAA